TTCTATGTAAAGTAGCATGTCATCCAAAATAATAATAGTTTAACTTCTTCCTTTCCTATTGTTACTCCTTTTATTTTTCTCTCTTGTCTAAATGCTCTGGCTAAAGTTTCCAGAACTATATTGAATACGAGTGATGATAGTGGTAATCCTTGTCTTGGTCCTGATTTTAGAGTGAAAGCTGTCAGTTTTTGTCAATTTTGTGTGATGTTTCTCATAGATGGCTTTTATCAGATTGAGATAAAGACCATCTATTCCAGTTTTCTGTATTTTATCATGAATGAGTGTTGCACTTTATCCAAACCTTTATCTGCATGTATTGAGATGATCTTAAGATTTTTGTCCTTGACTCTGTTAATATGTTGTATTACATTTATTGATTTCTGTATGTTGAACCATGCCTACATCTCTGGGATGAATCCCACTTAGTCATGGTGTATAATCTTCTTAACGATTTGCTGCATGGTTAGTCAGTGTCTTATTGAGGATGTTTCCATCTGTGTTCATTAGGGAGATGGGCCTGTAGTTCTCTTTCTTAGTTGGATTCTTCTCTGGTTTTGGTATCAGGGTAATATTTGCTTCCAGGAATGAGTTTGGGAGTATTTCTTCCTTTTCATTTCCACTCAAGAAAGTAGTGGCATTAGGTCTCCTCTAAATTTCTTGTAGAACTCAGCAGTGAATCTATCATGGCCTGGGCTTTTCTCTGCTGATAGACTTTTGATTACATCTTTGATTTCATTTGGTGATATTGGTTTATTTAGTCTTTCTGTATCTGGATTCATCTGTTAATTCGTATGTATCTAGAAATCTGTCCATTTCTTCTGTATTTTCCATCTTATTAGAATATAAGTTTTCAAAGTAGGTATTGATGATCTTCTGGATTTCTGCAGGATCTGTTGTGATTTCATCCTTTTCATTCCTAGTTGTATAGATTTAAGTCTTTCTTTCCTTTTTTTGATAAGGTTGGCCTAAGGTTTGTTGATTTTATTTAATTTTTCAAAGAACCAACTCTGAGTCATCCATTCTCTATATTGTTTTTGTAGTCTCCATTGCATTAATTTCTGCTCTAATTTTTATAATTTCCTCTTGTAGGAGCTTTGGGTTTGACTTCTTTTCTAGTTGAGGTTCAAAATTAAGTTGTTTATTTGAGCTAACTGTTTTCCTGATATATTTAACTGCTATAAATTTTCCTCTTAAGACTGCTTTCATTGTGTCTCACAGGTTCCAGTATGTTGTACTGTTGTTATCATTCAACTGTAAATACTTTAATTTTTTCTTTAATTTCATCTGTGACCCACTGGTTGTTCAGTAGGGTGCTATTTAATTTCCATGTGTTTATGAAGTTCTTGTGGTTTCCTTTGGCATGAATTTCCAACTTCATTGCACTGTGGTCTGATAGTTTGAATAGGATAATTTCAATTCCTTTGCATTTGCTTTAGCATGTTCTGTGACCCAGTATGTGGTCTATTTTGGAGAATGTCCTGCCTATGTGCAGCTGAGAAGAATGTGTATTCTGAGGTTGTGAGGTAAAAAACTCTGACATCTACTAAGTCCATTTGTTCAAAAGTTTGATTTAGTTCTACTATTTCATTATTGAATTTTTGTCTAATCTGTCTTTTTGTGACAGTGGGGTATTGAAGTCTCCCAAAACAGTTGTATTAGAGCTTATTTAATTTTTCATGTCTGTTAATAATTATTTTATATACTTGATTGCACTGGTATTTGTTGCATATATATTCATAGTTGTTATCTCTTCCTCTTGGATTGTTCCTTTTAAGGATATAATGATTTTCTTTCTTGGCTTGAAATTCACTTTGCCTGCAAATAGAATGGCTACCCCTGCTTTTTTCTGGGTTTCTGTCACATGGAGTATTGTTTTCTATCCTTTGTCTTTCGGTCTATGAATTTCTTTTTGAATTAAATGTGTTTCTTGTATACATAGTGTTGGATCTTGGTTTTTGATCCATTCTGCCAGTCTGTGTCTTTTGATTGGTAAATTGAGACCATTAACATTGATGGTTATAACTGATATGAAGTGATTTATCCTTGTCACATTATTTTCCTGCTTTTGGCTCCCCCTTTTTTCCCATTCTCTAGTTATTTACCTTCCCTGATTGATTCCTTCTGTTGGGGTTCATGGAGCTATAGTCCTTATTATCTCTTTCTAGACTGTCGTTCAGAACATTTTGGAGTGTTGGATTGGCGGTCAGAAATTTCCTCAGATGTTCTTTGTCATGGAAATATCTTATTTCTCCCTCAATTTTGAAAGATAGTTTTGTAGGGTATGTCAGTCTGGGTTGCAAGTTGTTTTCCTTTAAAACCTGGGAGTTCTTCTTGACCTGAAACTCTCCTTAACTTGAAAGTTTGTGCTAAGAAGTCAGCTGTGGGGCTGGGGATTTAGCTCAGCGGCATAAGCGCTTTCCTTTCAAGCAGGCAGTCGTGAGTTCGATCTCTGGTACTGATAAAAAGGAAAAAGACAAAAAAAAAAAAAAAAAAAAAAAAGCAGTCAGCTGTGATTCTGATGGGCTTTTCTTCATAGGTGATTTGTTTCTTTTCCCTAACAGCTTTTAGGATTCTATTCTTGTATTGAATTTCTGGAGTCTTGACTATGATAGATTTTTGTTTTGGTGTAGAATTGCTAATTAGAATTCTGTATGCCTCATTTATCTGCATCTAAAATTCTTTTTTCTCTCCAGGAAGATTTTCTGTCATAATATCTGTGAACTTTTTAAAATGTCATTTATGATATCTCCTGCTCTTTCATTGATTCAAATTAATCTTAAGTTATTCTTCTTTGTCTCCTCTAAGCAGTTGCTAGATTGATTTCTCATGGTCTCTTGCTTTTGTTGAGAAATTTTTCTTTTCCTGGTAGTTAACTGCAAGCCTGTCTTCAATATCTGAGATTCTGTCTTCCCATTGGCCTATTCTGCTTCAAATACTTTCATGGAGTTTTTATTCTCCTGGATATCTACTTGAATCCACTTTATGGATTCCATTTCTTTCCTGTGCTGAGCTTCCGTGATTTTCTTAAGCTTGTCTATGTTTTTGTCTGTGACTGCTCTAATGTCACAAAGCATGATATATATTTTGGTAATCTCTGTAGTTTATCTGAGAGATTATTTCTGATTCCACTTTTTCCAGAGCCTCATTCAGTTGCTTTGTTATTACTACTTCAGAGAGGCCTGATTGGGGGGCTCTTGGATTGTCGCACCTCATTGACCCCTGGATATCCCCCCCTCCCAGATATGTATTTTACGTATCAGTTCACCCCTTCGGTGAACCGGTTGTCTAGAGTTACATTTTGCTTAGGTGTCTGCTCATTTTCTCTTTTTAGTTGAATTCCTGGGGTGATGCTTGTAAGTTGCCTCTTGGTGGGTTGCTTTATTGCTATTATTTAGGGCCCTTTAGTGATGAGTGTTTCTCTGAGGTATCTTCCAGGTATAGCTAGCTTTTGGGTTTTGTGCCTGTTGGAAGATATTACATCTTCAGTTTGTTGGAGAAGAGAAGTTGTTGCTTGTTTGGCCCAGTCCCTGGTTCTTTGGCACTATACCCTGATATTTTCTGTGACCCTTAATCTCAAATCATGGAATAACAGGACCAACAGCTGTTTAGAACAATTATGTCAATTTTGGCAATAGTAATCCAAATAGAATCAAACACAACCCAGAAAACAACAAACTGCACTAACCCTCAATTTGCAACTTTAAGTTTTTGAACTAGATTTGTGATTATATAACAAAATTAAAGCAAATCAGAGAGTTATATGCAATATGTAAGTCCTTGATGTATCAATTTCCCCTAAGGGTTAACATTTAAAGTGGATTAATGAGGAAATAGGGAAGTGGGAGAAGAGAAAGAGATTAGAAGTAAGGTTGGAGGACGAAGGAGGATCATGCCAACTTCGGGAAACTGCTACAGAAGACTGAAGAAAAAGAAGGATGGAAGAACAGAATAGAAGTACACCCACAAAAAGGTTAGGGACCACTTTCATACATATAAAAATATTAAAGGAAAAAGAAAAGAAAACAGTCTACTTCCAGATTGTGGTTTCACTAGTAGACAACCTATGGAGACACAGTCCTGAATTGTGCTATCTCAGCAAGCCAGTAGTTGCTTTGTGGTGGAGTAGTAGACAACCTCAGCAGGCCTGCCCTAAGACCAGACTCACTGTGCTCACCACAGTCCAAGCAGTTTCCCCAGGTCTGCTCCCCGCTAGGAGCTACTAGAGAGAGCCGCAGCAGTTCTGGGCTCCGAGCTCAGCAGGTGGGTCTCCAGAATGGTTCCTGGCCAATTGCTCTCTCCCCATGGGAGGACTCAGTCCTCTGCACTCACCACCAGCCAGTGCAGTCCTCCGCATCAGTTACTCCCTTCCAATGTTGTATCTCTCTGCAGAGGCTTCTGGGGTCACCACTGTCACCATGACTGTGGCCGTATCACCTTCTTCTTCCTTAAAGTTTTTCTTTTCACTCTCTCTGTGGGCTTCAGTTCACACTTCAGATTCTCTCTGGGCCCAGGGGACCCACTTTCCTTCTTGTCTTCCTCACAATGATGCTATATTCTAGTGTCTGGATGGTGACTCTCAGGCTGTTTTCTCTGCTCTTACCACTCCACCATCTTCTTAGAAGTCTCTTTGTGAAGGTTTTGTGGTTTCTTTTGCCATTGTCTTCCAGTTCCTTTGCACTGTGTTCTGATAATATGCATGGGATAATTTCAATTCCTTTGCAGTTCCTTAAGCACATTCTATGAACTAGTATGTGGTCTATTTGGAGAACCTCCCAGTGCAGCTGAGAAGAATGTGTTCTGATGTTGTGGGGCGGAGCAATGTAGATATCCACTAAGTCTGTTCGTTCAAAAGTTTGTTCAAAAGTACCTTGTGCTTGCCAGGCTGGTGCTGGGCTGCTGAACTATATCCCTGGCTCCAGGAAATCTTTTGATAAAGTGAAAATAAATGGCTTTCCATGAGCTACATCCAGCCCTAAATTTTAATGTCTATTCCCCCTTAGGGTCGTCTCTTTTATGCATGTGACAGACCCAAAGCCGAGCAGTGTAAGTTTTTCAAGTGGCTGGAGGAGGTGACACCAGGCCAGGCAGCCCCAGCAGCGTTTCCACCCAAGGTGGCTCTGAGTGACATGAAGAGCCTTGGCTTGTACCTGCAAGGTCAGCACATCCCGCTCTACGAGGAGTGCCGGCTTCTGGTCAGGTGTGTTTCTCCAGGGGACAGTGGCCCTCCCTGTGCAGTGATGACAGGTTGAAGGAGATGAACACAGGACACATGCATCCTGGAGAGAGTGCCCAGTTGCTGTGACCAACCTGAGAATGCATCTTGGCCCCTGTAAGCATTGGGACAGCTGCTGGAGGCCGTTTTCCTACCTGGCCTGGCTCTGCCATGTGGTCAGGGGTCTTCCCAGACCCAAGGGAAACCACCAAGCAATCTGTAGGGTCACCTCTAGCGACTAGTAGCTGAGAGGTCATCCGGGCTGAGCTGCAGGCCTGTGGGAGGGTGGGATTACTTCCGGCATTATGGTAAGCATCCATGTGGTGCAGGAAGAGTGGCTTAGTGGGAGCCTTGGGACACCAGGTCCTCTCCTGCACGCATCACGTTATTTCCTGTCATCGACACAGTGGTGAGTAAGCTAGGGATATAACAGCATGGATCATTCTTCTCACTTCACAGCTGGAGAAACTAGATGCTTTGTCCTTCAGGGACTTTTTCTTTTCCTTTGGCATTAGGAATGGAATTCAGGGCCCCCACATTGAGCTATATCCCTGTCCCTCCTAATTTTTTATTTTGAGACAGGACTTTGGGTTGGGCTTGAGCTTTCGACCTTCCTGCCCCAGCTTCCCAGAGTGCTGGGATTACAGGACCAGGCAAAACTAAGTCAGTTCTGTGAGGGTTCTTATTTTATTCCTTGGGTGGAATACATTTTTACTTTGTGCATATGTATGAAAATATAAACATATGTAACTTTTCTTCCTTTTTCTTTTTCATGCTATATTTTAAAGGTTTTTAAAGCCCTTGGCTGGGAGTGTTAGCACAGAGCTGTAATCCCACACACATACCTGTAATTCCAGTTGCTAGGGAGGAGGAATAGAAGGGTAAGGAGGATTACATCTTCAAGGCCAGCCTGGCAATTTGGTGAGACCTTGTCTCAGGAAACAGTGAGAAGGGGCGCTGTCACTCTGCCATCTTGTGCTTGCCTAACCTGTGAGAGACCCATGAGTGAAGCCCCGGTACCTCCCCACCCACCCTCCCCCCACCAACTCACACACGTGCACAGGCATGGGATGTACCTTAACTTGTAAATTATTTCTTTGAGGATTGACTTGGGACTTGGGACTGGGACTTGGCACTGAGCTACATTCCTACCTCTTTTGAGGCAAACTGTCATTACGTTGTCGAGGATGAGCTCGAACTTGCCTTCCTCCATCTCAGCCTTCCATAGTGCTGGGATCATAGGTGTGTATCACCACACCTGGTTCAAATTCATGTTTATTTTTATTTTTATTTTTTATTCTGTTTTCAGAAAAGGATTCGATTTTCAGAGAAAACAGTATGGCAAGCTAAAGAAGTTTACTAATATAAATCCTGAATGTTGCAATGAACCCAAAAGCAAGCTTTATCTTAAGCTGAGTCGTAAGGAAAGTTCTTCGATCTACAGCAAAGGTTAGTTGGTAGCTCAATTACATATATCTGAATAACTGTTATTCAGTTATTTATAGCTTTGTAAATTCTGTATAAGAGAATTTTAAATACGTGGCTTCTATTATATATATTACAGCCATACATTTAAAATATAACATATGTATAAAAGATAGCTAAGATAGTTATACTACTGATTTCTGTGAGCTCATTGAAGAGAAAGATGCTAGCATTGTTTAGACAATTTGAATGCATATGTCTTGTTCTCTGAGCATCTGATTGGAAGGTAACAATATGCATTGTATATACCATTGTTAACTCCCTTATTATCATACTTTGAAAATTCTTTTTTCTTTTTAAAATAAAAAGTATGGTTTAATAGTACTAAATATAGTAAACTACAGTGTAATAAATTGGCTCATTTCTGAAAAGCGTATCTTAATTTTTTGAGCTCTTAGAAAACTATTATAAGAATATGAAGACGTTTTTGTTAAAAAGTTTCAGAAAATTCTTGATGTCAATGTAAATAAGTGTATTGACTCAACCATACTCTGACCTGTTGTAGAAAATAAGCTGGAAAATGTGGTAAGTTTGTTTTTCTTCGTCTGCTCAATTTCATAGCCACACACAGACAGATAGACAGATACACACACACACACACACACAACACACACACACACCAAGGGATTTCATCAGACAAAGCTGATGTACAAGAAAGGACACAACTAGGAAGGGTTAGCCCGTGGGTTGGAAGACCATGTGTTTGGTAAGCAGCCAGTGCCCAACCAGGAACCTGGCAGTTCTGTAAGCAGCAGATCTCTGGCTGAAGGACAGGGAGAGTCCAGGGGTATACTGAATGGCCTTTGTCTTTGCCAGAGCTGAACCTCTGCACAAGGTTCCTCTCACTGCCATCTGGAGTAGGGTGCTGGCACAGAGGGAAGACTGCTCAGGTGGGTGCAGAACCACTGTTAAAGTTGCTTGGTGGCCCACAGTTTGCCCCCAGGTATGTCCGGGAAAAAAAAGATGCAGTTGTGTGTCCCGTGCTACTGCAGCATCAGTCACAGTAGCCCAGATGTGGCGACTGCCTGAGGGGTCCTGCAGTAAAGATTAAAGAAATAATCATATGTATGATATTATTCAGTGTGGATGATATTATCAGTATGTCTTAGTTATCTTCCTCATTGCCAAGACAAAAATTCCTGAAACTCACAATTAGAGGAGGAAAGGTTTGTTGAGTCTAGTTTCAGTGTGTAGTCAGCTGGCTCCAAGGTGCAACAGCATCACAGAAAAGTGGTCCATTGCAGGCTGAAGACAGCAAAAGCAAGTGCCAAGAGACAAGCCTCCTCCTGTCTTTTATATTATATCTAGGCTACTCAGGATGGGTAGCACTTACACCTTTATCCCTAGTGCCTAGAAAGCCCCATCTGTGACTGTGCAAGGCTTTGGGGGAGTCATCTAGACACAACTGTGACACAGCCTAACTGACTTTCAGTGGAGAATAAAGAAAGAACTCAGAGCTGCATTATTCAGCCTTAAGAAGGAAAGAAATCTGACCTGTGGGACATGTGCAGGCTAAGTAAAACAAATTAGATCTGTACCGTGTCACGCGTGAATCCAGAGGAACTGAGTGCAGATACAGTGGAAGGTGGTGGTGGCGCTCAGGGTGGGGGGATTGGACAGTACAGACCGTGCGGTCGCAGCTCTCACAGTGTCCCTAGGAGCAAGGTGACTGTGGTTACTGGTGATTATTCATACCAGCCATGTAGACCCATACCTGTATTCTTAGCTGCTTGGAAGCTAAGCCAAGAGATCGAAAGTTCAAGGCCAGCCTGGCGACTTAACAAGATCCTGTCCCAAAATAGCTACAAAAGGACCTGGGGTATAATTTAGTGGCAGAATACTTGTATCGCCTGCACCAGGCCCTGGTTCTGTCCCCAGGACCCACCAAAGGTTATGTACTAAAATCTGTGAAGGGAAGAGATCTCAACAGTTCTCACCATCTGAATGCAGAAAGGAGACTGTCGGGTGGGGCTGCATGGATTCACCTGCATGTAGGAATTGGGACAGGGTGGTCATTGGTATGGAACTGTGGGGGGCTGGGGTGGGGCCTGCGAGCCCTTGATGTAGTCAAGGCCCTGGCTGCACACCTCCAATACCACACTGTCCATGAACGATACTGTAGTTTGCTTGTCACTCAATTTCAGCAAAGCTGGGGAAAATGTTTGTCCTTTCAGATGATCTCTGGGTGATTTCAAAAACCTTGGATTTTGAACTGGACACATTCATCGCATGCAGTGCTTTCTTTGGCCCATCCTCTGCCAATGAGGTGGAGCTGCTGCCTCTGAAAGGCTACTTCCCATCCCGCTGGCCTGCTGATGGTGAGTGTCTGTGACTGCTGTTTCAGGAGGGCGCCTGGCACGGTCTGTGTCTGGAGCCAGGATGCCCTGTGGGACATGGGACGTCACCAATGAGCGTGATCTTCAGGCCGGTCCTGTGTGCAGTGCTCCGGAAACACAAGACGGTTACTATGGAAGTTTCTGCAGCTTGTGTTCTACAGAGCTGACGCTTTTCTGAAATCTGGACCCATCATGGAAGTATTTTGTTAAAATTCAATTTTGCACACTGTGTCCTTGGTTTTTAGAAATATAAGTATTAAACTATGTGTGGTGGTACACACCTGTAATCTTAGCATTCTGGGAGGCTGAGGCAGGAAGATTACAATTTCAAGACTAACATGGGCAATTGATTTAGAGGACACTATTGCAAAAGAAGAATAAAAAAAATAGTGTGAAGGGACAGGTGTAATCTAGCCCTGCCCCCCCCCCCCGCAAGGTTAAACTCTATAAATTAGATTTTTCAAATGATTTGTGTGTGTGTGTGTGTGTGTGTGTGTCTTTTTGAGACAGGGTTTCACTGTGCAGTTCAGGCTGGCCTTGGGCTCACTTTGTAGCCCAGGCTAGTCTCAAACTCATAGCAATCCTCCTGCCTCAGACTCCTGAGTACTGGGATTACAGGTGTGCAGAAGTTCAAATTCTCTTGGTTTATTTGAGGGTATATTTATTAACTCACTTTTTTCACTGAGAGGTCTCAGAAATTTTTAGTTTTAAATGTATCTTTTTATTGGTTTGTGTTTTTGAAGCAGGGTTTCAACATGTATTCCAGGCTGGCCTTGAACTCATATTGTAGCCCAGGTTGGTCTTGAACACATGGCAGTCCTCCTGCCTCTTCCTCCGATGTTCTGGGATTATAGGCATGAGCCATCATGCCTAGCTTTTTTTTTTTTTTTTTTTTTTGAGACAAGATCTTACTATATAGCCCAGGCTGGCCTCAGAATTGAAGCAATCCCTTTGCCTCAGCCTCCTGGGGGCTGGATTCCAGGTATGCACCACTGTGCCCTGTGAGAAATTTTTCATTAGACAAGCTACTCACTTTATTTTTCTTTTAATAAAGCAAGCTTTATTATTAAGCTGCATCCCTATCTAGTTCTGTGAATCTGTGGGCTTCTCTATATATTTTGATTTCTCTACTTATTTCTAATGGTTGAGTTTGGTCCATAATTAATGACATAGCATTTACTGCCACTTTTCTAATATTTCATATGTTCTAATCTTTTAGATTTTTAAATAAGCGTAGTCAACCAATTTGAGTATAAGGAAAGCCTACGTAAACTTTTATGACTTTCATATGCATATTTTCCTATTTTTTGAGGTTCTTTCCTTATTGATATCAGCTTTCTAATTTTGTTTTCTATTTTCATAAATTAAAAGAAATGCATAAATATTTTCACATTATGCAGACACTGCTGTAGCATAGGTGGCCTGCTGAGTTTGTGCAGCTGAGCAAACAGTGGTGCATAAACTCAGCAGAGTGTCCCGTCCAGTGAGCAGTGTGTATAAGTCCAGGTCAGCTCGTGTGTCACAGTTTGTAGTGCTCACATGGTGGGTGACAGACAAGTTGCATGATTCAGTCCTGAAAGTGCTAGCACTTGGCAGGCCCTTGGAGGTTTCCTTGGGTCATGCGATTCAGAAGCCGAGCTCTGAGTTACAAGGACGTTACTCTCCCTTCCGCATCCCCTCTAGTTGTGGTCCATGCGCTGTTGGTTTGTAACGCGAGCAACGAGCTGACGGCATTGAGGAACATCCAGGACCACTTTCACCCAGGAACGCTGCCCCTGACGCCGCACCTCTTAGCCATGTAAGCCGCCCTTTCCGGGGGTCGTTGCCATCACAGTGGTGGTGGTAGGGTGAATGTGAAAAGGGGTGAAGTCCACTCACTCGAGCTTTGCCAGTGGCCTCCTCCTCACAGGCCAGCAGGCTGCCCCCGCCGGCATCTCATCATACAGAGGTCGAGGAGAGGTGGGCAGAGCTCTGGGCACGCTGCTCTGGAGGGTTCCGGTCCCGCAGGGGCAAAGGTCTGCAGAAAGTTCTGCAGATAAAAGGATAAAAGCATTATTTTCATTTATTTATTTATTGTGGTTTTGGCTAATAAGTTGCAATATTTTTCTCTTTATTAAAGGACAGTTTTTAATGCAAATGTTCATTTTTTATTCTGCATTTTTATGCTATATATTATTTAATATTCAAAAAAATCATTTCACAGCTTTTTCAGTGTGTATGTCAGTAATGTATTAATAAAAATCCATTTACCCATGCTTCACCTGTAATTTCTCCACACCAAGGCCCTTGTTAAAAAAAATAGTGACTATATTAAATTGATTAAACTCATAAAGAAGGTCTATTTTCCAATTTGGGTTTTATTATCTATCTTGTAGTGTCCTACTTCTTTCCACCACAGTGAAATTCTTCTCCGAGAGGGAGTTTGAGGCAAGGCCTCCCTGTGGAGCCCCGGCTGTCTTGAACACTCAGTGACCCTCCCACCCCAGCCTCCCCAGTGCTGGCCCTCTGGGATGTGCCACCACAACGGCTTACCACAGTGACATTCAAAAAAAAAAAAAAAAAACAAATGACCTCAGGATTCTCTTCTGTTTTTTATTCAATTGGAACTGAATGAAAGACTTCATAGAAGTAGAATAAAAGCAATTTCCTTGATCGATAACCATATTACTAAGTTTTTTATGGATATTTGAACAGAACTGTTTGCAATCTCACTGTTTGAATCCCCACTTTGTTGTTTAACTTTTGTATCTTGAACAACTGTAAGAGCACAATATGTAATCATCAACTAGTGATTTCTTACTGTTTATTTTTTCTTTGAAAGTATGTATTATTTCTACCCGTTTTCTGTTTTGTGTAGTCTTTCTTTAAATAAAATTTAAAACAAAAACAAACAAACAAAAATAAAAAGCAATTTCCTTGTGGTAGTATTACCAGACAGAGGCTCTGCTAGTCCTCGCAGTCAGTCTGCCCCTGGGCACCCTTGTGGTTCGGGAGTGTCTGACGGTTCCATGCCTCACTGAGAGGGCCGCCACCGCCCAGCGGGCGTGAGTGGACACTTCCTCGGCAGGCAGCACGGGGGGCCCTGGGAGTGCTCAGCTGGGAGCATCCACTCGCTGCCTCCTCCGGTGACGGTCTGTCCTTTGTCTTCCTTTCCCTAGGTCTGCAACCCCTGCGGCTGGCCAGGGGAGAGTGGATGTGAGGAAGTTCACCCCGCCAGCCTTCATTGGCAGGTGTGCCGAGCGGGAGCAGCCCAGTCGGGATGCGGCGCTGCAGCTGGTGGGCGAGCTGGTCCGGACGCACGGGCTGAATGAGGACCAGGAGGCGGCCCTGAGCCAGGTGGCCCTCATGCTGACGGCCCCTGCTAGTTCGGACAGCGCCCCCACCCTCCCCTTCACCCTCATCCACGGTGAGCACCCTGCCTGGGATAGAGTCAGGCCTGTCTGTGCTCTGATGTTTCCATAGCCACTGGGCTGGCTACAGCCACTGGACTGCCTTGAGCTGTTCTGGTAACTGAGAGCGGAGCAGGGTAGCCATGGGCAGGTGGCCGTGGAGTGGCGCTGTCCAGTGCTGAGGGGCACGGCCAGGTCAGATCTGGGTCTCCAGTTGCTGTGTGAGGGTGGGCTCAGCTCTGCCCGGAAGGGCCTGTCATTATTCCTCAGAGTGCTCTGCCACCCTTCACAGCAGCCCTTGAAGCCCTCTTGTTCTCATGGCCTCATTCTGCCAATCTTCTGAGCACACCTGTAATCCCAGCACTCAGGAGGCTGAGGCAGGAGGATCGATGTGAATTCAGGGCCAGCCTGAAGTACATAGTAAGATGCTGTCTCAAACAAACAAAAAAAATAGTAACAGAAACTTCTGTTAAGGTCCTGTACACCTTTTCCAAGATACAGTTTTAGACCATTCTTAGTTCTTCACCCCTGGTTAGGGTAGTGTGCAATTCCCCAGTCCCATGTCCTCCCTAGTTCACCTCCAACAGCCCTGTACCCCCTGGCTGACTCTTGTCTGTTCTGTGGGGTACAGCACATCCGCCTGTGGGCTTGGTGGACACCTAGCAATCACTGCAGGTTACCGTCTCCCCTTGTTCTCGCTCTCTTCCCGTGTCACCACGTTGGGTCAGTCACAGGTGGCCCCGTCTTTCCCGGTAGTCAGCCCTTCCCAGCTCCTGTGTGTCCCTCCATGCAGGCCCCTCCGCAGCACTACCATCCTTCCTGTGTCTCAGCTCCATCACTGGTCAGAGCATGGTCCTGGCCAGGTTACTTAGTTCTTTGCTTTCATTTGCTACGCTGTGAAATCACAGCAGTAAGAGCGTCTCCCCAGGGATCGGAGATGGGACAACTCATGGGCGAGAGCATGGGATGGTGCCTCTGGCTGGCGCCCCTCTCGAAGCCGCACTTAGCATCACCAGGGTTTTTATGATTATCCCACATAGCAGTTGAGCTACCTCTAGTCATATCTTTCTGCATATTGTGACCCAAGTAGTTTTTCTAAAACACAACCTGCTGACTTAATCCTAGTGCTTAAAATTAAGGATGACTTCTCTAACCTGTGAAGGTTGGTTTGTTTTGAGGCAGGGTCTCGCTATGTAGGTCCGGCTGACATTGAACTCTGCGTAGCCCAGGCTGCCTTGGAACTTATTCAGGCTCGTGTCTGGATGTCCCCCAGAGCTACTTGTGGTCACCAGTGGGGTCTTTCAGAGGTAACTGGGAATGTGTTTGTGGGATCACTAACTTAGCCCATGATAGGTCAGTGTAGTTCTGGGTGTGGATATGGGAAAGGTCTCCATGGAGGGTGGCTGTTCCCTGCCCCAAGGACGGGTAGGCTTTTTTTGCTGCTTGCAGCCTTTTGCCTGCACACCATGCCATCCCACTTGGAGCTGGCCAACTACGGATCAAAACCTGTACAAACTGTGAACTTAAATAAACCTTTCCTCTTCTGAGTGTCAGCAACGAGAAAAGTAACTGAGACAGCCCACGGTGATCTGCCTGCCTCAGCCTCCCAGAGTGCTGGGATTACAAGCACGTATCAACATGCCTGACCCTGGATGTCGTATTCTAGAAGACTTGGTTCTGCTCCCTCTTTACTTTTAGGAACCATTTCCATCACCCCCAAAGCAGAGACTGTCCTGTCGGAGGTCTCATAGTGGTGTTGCCTCCATAGGTTTTCATCCTGTCCCTCTGCCTGTTCTGCCTGGTCAAATGACTGTGGTCTCACTTGGGGGGAGAAGTGTGTGTTTGCCCCACACAGTGGGCCCTCAAGGTTTTAAATGAGTTCATTAACTAAATGAAGGTGAGCCCAGATAGATGGAAATGCTTCTAGTACTCTCAGGAATGTCTTAAGGTATGGTATTGACTCTGTCTCCTTCCTTTTAAATAATCAGGTGTTTTTGGCGCGGGCAAGAGCTATTTGCTGGCGGTGGTGGTTTTGCTGTTCGTGCGCCTGTTTGAGCAGAGCGACACTGCTGTGGTGGGGAACGCACGGCCATGGAAACTTCTCATTTCTTCCTCCACCAATGTTGCCGTGGACAGAGTGCTTCTGGGGTAGGTGCAACAGGCGACTGCCTGGCTGCTTGCTTATTGGGGGTGGATTCCGTACCCCATGGTTTGGCGCCCATGTTGGGTGCTCAAGTGAAAACTGCAGTCCAGCCCAGAATGCAGGGCTTAGACCTGGAGAGGCTCCCACACGAGTGCAGGGCCTTCTTGGCCACCTCTGTGGCACACGGTGCTGGCTGCTGGAGAGCTCTGCCTCTGGCTCAGTGTTAAAACCAGTGGCTCAGAGCCAGCATGGTGGCACACGCCTGTCATCCCAGCACTTACAAGTGCTAGCCCAGCCTGGGCACCTTAGCTCTGATCCAGGAGTTTGGGGTCTATTGTTTTAGAATCTTTTTTTTTTTTTGGTACCCGGAATCAAACTCAGGGCCTTGCACTGGCCAGGCACAGGCACTGTGCCACTGAGCTACATCCCCAGCCCAGGAGAATCTAAAATTAAATCCCAGAGCTGACATTTGGAGGCCAAAGTCTTGGCCATCTGCCTGTGTGAATTTACTATATGAGCAGAGCAGAGAAGTCTGTGTATGTCATGTTTCTAGTTTCAGTAAGAGGTGTCCAGAGAAGGCAGGAAATCATAATTTCTCATTATATAAGATTTTATGAAAAATACAAAGAAAATATTTGTAATTTTACCAGTATTTCAACATTTATTTGAATTTCAACATAGATGACACCAAGTTGTCTTTCTTTTCTGTTTTTGTTTGTGGTGTTGGGTATCAAACCCAGGGCCTTTGCACTGAGCTGCATATTCTGCCCATTTTTATTTATTTTATTTTATTTTTTGAGATAGGACTTGGTCAATTACTGAGTTTTATGGGCTGGGCTCAAACTTACTATCCTCCTGCCCCAGCCTCCCAGAGTTCTGGGGTCCTGGTGTATATCACTATGCCTGACAGCATTTTATTTTTTCTGAGAGTGTTTTATGAGGAGAAATATTCTATAATTTAAAAGTGTAGGCTTTTTAAAAATTAACTTTCATATATAAATTAATATATATGTAGAATACATGTAGATTTTACATTTTGCTTTCTAAATTTGGAATTCGGTAATATACAGTATTTTGTGCCTTGCTTGTTTTTTTAACTTAAAAATGATTGCTCTCTGGTGTTAAATCTTAGAAAACATAATTTTTATCCAGGAATGATGGTGCAAGCCAATAATCCCAGCACTTGGTAAGTTGAGGCAGGAGGGTTACCACAAATTCAAGGGCAGTCTGCACCTCAGAGCAAGGCCCTGTGTCAAATCCCACCCCCAAAGAAACAAAAACAAACACAAATCTGGAAGTTAGAATGCAGGCAGTAGTTGAGTCCTAAAAAGGAAAAGGGGATTGGAAACATTTTTGAAAGATTCCTTCAGGCTTACATCTCTGGAAAGGACTTTTGTCAGACTGTGGTTGGCAGAGATGTCTGCAGTGTGTAGAGGCTGGGCACAGGCCTTCCTGCCCACTAAAGTAGATTTCCTGCGTCCCAGCGGCAGCACGCAGGATGGGACACATTTCTTGAGGACTGGAAGTGCACGGGCATTTGTTTGGCTTGGTTTGGTTTTTGCACATCCACCCCAGGGCCTCACGTGTGTTAAGGGAGTGCTGTTTTCCTCAGCTTCATTCCCAGATAAACCAAGGATAACTGTACGCACATTTGATCAAAAATCATCAGAAATCTCTACAAAATGTGTTATATAAAACATTTTATAACCACAGTGCATTTGAGTATAAAATGCTCACATTGAGTTATGTAAACTAAAACGCACTATTACATAACATTAATGTTGTTAACAATAGCACAAATAACCAGGTTCTACTTTATCTGGGTTTTTTGTTTTGTTTTGTTTTGTTGTACCGCACATCGAACTCATGACCTCGTGCTTGCCAGGCAGGCGCTTGTGCCGCTGAGCTGTGTCCCTGGCCCTATCTTGATTTCTTTAAAGGCTTCTCAGCCTCGGGTTTGAGAAGTTCGTCCGGGTGGGCAGCGTCAGGAAGATCGCCAAGCCGATTTTGCCGTACAGGTAAGAGTGGGACTTCTGCGGTCGGGGACCGCGGCGGTCAGCGCCGCTTCCCTGGCCCGGCTGCCCACTGACAAGCCTCTTTCTGGTTAACCCGGACACGGGAATCAGGGCTGCCCCGCATCCCCAAGTGCTTCCCTCGTTTGCTACCTGCTTTCCCTCTTTCCTTAGCCCCGCTCGCCCCTCATTCTCTCCCCAACGCTTCACTTTGACTTTTTCAAATAAACCTTGCTGCCCTGGCCAGTTTAGCTCAGTGGCGTAAGCTCCTGTCTGGCAAGCGTGAGGTCGTGAGTTCGATTCCTGTACCAAAACAAAAGAAAAGAGACAAGAAAAAAGACGAAATGTGCTTTTTGCTCTTGGCTTGTGGAGTCACTCGCCCTCCTTGCAGCCTGCACGCCGGCCCAGGCAGTGACAGCGAGCCGCTGCGGGAGCTGCAGGCGCTGCTGAAGGAGTCGCTGACCCGCACCGAGAGGGCGTGTGTGCGGAGGAGCCTGGAGCAGCACCGGCTGGGCAGCACCCGGGCGCTGCTGAGGCAGGTGAGGCGCCTGGGTCCTCGGGGTGGGCGAGCATTGCCCAGGCGAAGCAGGCAGCCGGGCAGGGCGGTGCCCTTCTGCCCTGCCAGCTCCCCTGCGCACCAGGCCCGGCTTCGCCCCCAGCACCATAAGAAGCAGAAAAACCTCAGATTGTTTTCCTATTTATATTTAGTTTTGGAGATTGCAGTAAAGTGATCCCTTTACGGGCTTTTTTGTTTTGAGAATAATGGCATTCTACCACAACATTTAAAACTTAGAAGATTCAAATGCATTACCAGCGCCAGGGTGTTTTGGTGGTCGCTGTTTGGTCTTAGCCCCTTTTCAGCCCTGAGCAGACCTCGGGGCTCCGAGGCACAGCCCGCCTGCCTGGCCCGGCTGCTGTCTCCTGCGCCCCATGGGGATTCCCTTAGGTGCGGCTCTCGGAGTGCATCACGCCCTGGAGTCCGGGGTTGGGTGGAGGAGCAGGTGCTCTCTGGGCCCGTTGGTCTGCGGGCCGGGATGGGCTCCTGCAGTGCCCTGCTCCAGTCAGCAGCCTCTCTGGCCTCTCTGTTCCCCCGCGTCCGCAGGTCCCCGTGGTGGGTGTGACCTGCGCAGCCTGCCCGTTCCCCTGCATGAGCGACCTGAGCTTCCCGGTGGTGGTGCTGGATGAGTGCAGCCAGATGACTGAGCCCACCTCGCTGCTCCCCATCGCACGGTACGGTACCCCGGTACCCCGCGTGCTCGCGACCCTGACTGACTGAGAGGCGGAGACCGACGAGGGGCAGCCAGTTGAAGGAAGGGTGCGAGCGTCAGTGCGGGCAGCTCCGGCGACTGGGCCAGGCAGACCAGCTGCGGAGCGCCCTGGAGCCGGCCTCTGTGGGCTGGGGACACCCCCTCCCCAGCTGGCTCCCCGCCACCTCCCGAGTCACAGCGGGCCTGCGCTCTCCCTGTGATGCAACCCGCCTGTTCAGCATCCGAGCATTTGTTCTGGGTTATGAAAGAATGTAAGATAGATACACTAAGTAGCTGTTGAAGATTTGTCTCCTAAACTTTGAAAAACTGTGGGATGCCCAAAGCCGTCCAGCAGACAGAAGCCTGGCGCCTGCAGCAACCCGAGCGGGCCGGCCTCGCTCAGGGGAATGGAGTGCCTCCCGCGGGGTCTCCAGGGCCAAGTGCGGAGAGGGGCCACTGTTGGGACTGCCGGGCCTGGGGCGCTCGCTCGGCTGAGGGGCAGCCCCTCCTCTGCTCCGCATAGCAGCGTGTCCGTGGCTGCAGTCTCTGCTGGGAGCATGCCTGGCGGGACAGCTGCCACCGGTGGCGGAGTTGGGATTGGGACGTGAGCTGTCTACCTTTGGCCTTGGCCCCCCTGTGTCTTGCTTCTGTTTGGAGGCAGTTAGTCTCTGAGAACCTAACTGATCCCACCTATAAAATAAAGCCAAATGTATTTAGAAAGCTTCTCCTAAAGACTTTCTGAATCTTAAAAATAAATGTTTCCCGCATGTGTTCTGTGAAATCCTAATTACATGCAGAGGCAGGAATAGACTGGCTTTCACACAGGAAACAGCTCAGGGAAGTTTTTCATCAGCACCATGCAGCTCCAGGAGTTTTCAGGACACTCCATAGGATTTAGTCATGGAGTCCATTTTGAACAAAGCAATACATGGTATTGATGTGGCCCTTTTTTGTTCCTGAGATTAATTTTTGAAATCCTGCCTTTAGGTTTCAGTGTGAGAAGCTGATTCTTGTGGGAGACCCCAAACAGCTGCCTCCTACGATTCAGGGTTCTGAAGCGGCTCATGAAAATGGACTGGAACAGACTCTCTTCAGTCGGCTTTGCTTAATGGTAGGCACTGCGGAGCTCCCGCAGGGCTGGAGTTTGTGTGGGTGGTAGGGAGACAGCATCAGAAAACTTTGTGATTGTTCTTAAACATTTAACAATTGGAGTTGTCGAGACAGTACTCATCTTAAAGGTAACTAGAATTCTCAGTTTTAGCAGGGCTTTATGAAGTGAATTTTTTCCTACTGCTTCAGGAGTGGGCAGGAAGTATATAGCTTTTGTTTTAAAACCTTGGATATTTATGATGCTTCTGATAACAATACAGAGCTCTACTTCACACTTTTAGACATTTAAATTATTACTATACTTGGAGTAATTCAGATGATACACATTTATCTAAAGCAAACGGCCTGGTTTAATACAGTCACAGCGCTCTGCAGCCTCTGCTGTGGCCTGGTTTCCCGAAAGCGGGTGCCCTGGGCCCACTGCATCATCCCCACCCGTGACCCCACGGTCCAGTCGGCTTCCCCACTAGTGGGTGTGCATATAAGCACAGTCACGCAGTGTGTGCCCTTTGTGATGTCTGGATTCTTGCACTAGCATGTTTTCCTGATTCACTGTTGGTGATCCATGCTCTGAGTTTTTCCTAAAGGACATCTGCAAGGCTGGACAAGTGTTACCCACTTATTTCCACAGCTTCCAGTCATTCTCATCAGAAGCTTGGTGCTAATTAAAGTCGTTCCCACACCTGCCTCCTGCTGAAACCGCGGGTCTACTTTCTGACTATGAATTTGCCTGTTAGGTGCTTCCTGTAAATGTAGCTAACAGAATGTGTCATTTTGTGTCTGGTTCATTTATATGTTCAGAGTTTGTCAGTGCTGCAGTGTATGTTGGAATTTCACTCCTTTTTAAGGCTAACTAATATTCATATATATATATTGCATTTCTGTTGGTGGGTATTTGGATTGTTTTTACCTTTTCGCTACTATAATAGCTAATGCTATTATAAACACTGTAGACAAATACCTGTACAACTACAAATACTAATACACAGGAGTTCTGTTTAACCTTTCCCCATAGTAATGCGCTAAGGTTCTGTTCTCAAAGCCTCACCACGCTTGTTATTTTCTGCTTTGTTTCTATTTTCGCAGTGGCAACCCCACTGTGTGTGTTATCTTGTGCCTCCCTAGCAAATGATGTTGAACATCGTGTGCATACTATTTGTGTGTGTTCTTGGAGGAAATACTGCTCAAACCTTTGCCTATTTCTAGCTTCCTTTTTGTTCTATGATCTGGATATTAATTCTTTGTCAGATACATAATTTGGAAAATGTTATCCTTAGTCTGGGTTGTCTTTTCACATTTGTTTTGCTCTCGAAGTGCTGGAGTTCAACCCAGCATCCTGTGCACGTAAAATAAGTGCTGTGCCCTTCCACTCCTGGCTTGTTTCCTGGGACTGTCCCTGGAGGGACCGCAGTCTTAGTGCTGACCAAGTCCTTTCTATCTGTGCTTTTTGGTGTGCGTTGCTTATACTTTTGGTGTCATATCTACCAAACTGTTGACAAATCCAGTATTACTAACATTTTCCCCAATGTTTCTTCTAAGAGTTTTGTAATTTTAATTCTTAAATTTAGGTACTTGATCTGTTTTGAGATCAAGTAGCTAAATTTTGTATATGCTGTAGGATAAGGGCACAGCTTTATTCTTTTGCAGGTAGATATCTAGTTTTCTTAGTATGACGTATAGAGAAGACTGCCCTTCCCCCATTGAATTGTATTGGCGCTGTTGTAAAAAATCAGCTGACTATATTATCTGAAGATTTATTTCTGGGCTTTTTATTCCTCATGCCTGTATGACTTCCTCACTTTTTATAACTGAATAATGTTCCATGATGTGCATCCCACATTTGTTTCCTATTCCCTGTTAATATTATTTTATATAGTAATCTAAATGAAACTTTTTACAAAAATTAAAAGATTCTGACCAGAACATCATTAAAAAATGACTTTTGCCAAGAGAAAAAATTGTATTTTGCTGGTTTAAATTGTATCTAAAAAGTTCTCTTAATGTTTGAATCTAATCTGTACTTTGTTATTTTTTTTTTCCTTTTTTCGAGACAGGGTCTCGTTAGGCAGTTCAGGCTGCCCTTGAGTTCAGTTTGTAGCCCAGGCTGGTCTGGAACTTGCAGCGACCCTCCTGCCTCAGCCTCCTAAGTGCCAGTATTACAGGTGTGCACCACCACAACTGGCTCTGTACTTTCTTAACAGAGCAAGGAAAAGTATATGAAGTGAATTGTTAAATCACAAATAAATATTTCTTCTTCTGGAAGAGACACTATTTCCTAGTGAATCTCTAAGAAGATTTAGACCAACTAGGTTGATTTCTCTACTTCTAGGGGTAGTTAAGGCTTCACTGTTCTTTCCCACATGTCTCCTCCTTTCAGTGTTCTTACTGCATTAGTTACATTATTGTATTTGTATTCTTTTTATCTTTTTGAGAAAGGGTCTCGTTGTGCAGTTCAGGCTGGCCTTGGCTCACTTCATAGCCCAGGCTGATCTTGAACTTGCAGCAATCCTCCTGCCTTAGCCTCCCATGCCACTATGCCCGGCTTATGTTTGTATTGAGTGTTATAACATTTACCTTTTTTCTGTAGTAGTAATTTGTATCCTGAGGACCAGCCGTGCACTTCAGTGGACTTAAGTGTTTAGCTTCCCCTTTTACTGAAGAGTGGTGGATTTTTTTTGCCTGTCTCCTTAATGTCTGAAAGCTCCTGCTGCCCTCACCTGTATGTGGCTCCTAGACTTGGTGTGCCCACTCTGGGCACAGCCATTCTCCAGCGCACACTGCGGGGAAGTTGAGGCCCAGCCTCGTTATTTCCCCCTTGTAATGTGTTTTGTCTTTTTCCTGCCTGGATGCAAACCTTAGCTGCTGAAGAGCGCAGTGAGTTCATCCAGCTTTCTGCCTGGGTTTCTGGTGCCCGGGTTGCAGCTGTGCCTTGGGGATTGGCTGTGGGGCGCTGTCATCCTGGGGTCTGTGGAATACCTTCTCTACATTCTACAGGCATGGCCCAAGCCAGTGTCCCTCCCGGTGGGGTGTCTGCTTCAGCTGCACTCAGAGCTGCCGGGGTCCTGCCTTAGCTGCTGGGAGCTTTGCAGCCCTGCTGTGCGGGGATCACCCCCGCCTTGGCCCAGAATCTTGCTCCCCAAACTCCACACTTTCTAAAGTCATGGTGCTGGTCGGCTGCAAACCTTTCTTTGTTGCATAATGGCTGGAGTTTTTCTTTGCTGGTACCTTTAGTATTTTTGTTGTTGCTCCTTTGGACACTATAGAGAGAACTGTACGGTGCCGCTATATTCTGCTTTCCTAATTCACAGTTTCCCATCTGCTGCGCTGAGTTGTAGCCAGCTTTGCGGAGAACCAGTCTTTACATGGTTTTGGCTTTTCAGTGGAGCTGAACTGATCTGAAAAACTCATCCCTCCTATGCTGAGTTAGTGTCCCACCCCTTGTGAATCCGACTGTTTCAGATGCTTTTAAAACCTTAATTAAAAATTCAAATCCTAAAACATTTTTGGCAGTGTAGTCGTGGTTCAGAATGCAAGAGAACTGAGCAGTGTAGAGACTGTGAAGGGGCCGATTCTCCCTGTGCGGTTCTTCTCCCCAAGAGCATCTTCCCATGATACTGGAAATGGCATTTTATGCCCATGTAGACAAACATGTAAAATACTTTCCCCTTGTTTGAACACATGGTAATGTACAATACTTGCTGCTCTGTCCTTTGCTTTATCACCTATTTTTGATACCTTTTTAAAATGTGGTATTTATTTATTTATGTTTGTTTAGATAGAATCTGGCTGTACAATCCAGGTAGGCCTTGAACTCACTTTGTAGCCCAAATTTAAAATCTTCCTGCCTCAGCTTCCTAAGTGCTGGGATTAAGGGCATGTGCCACCACACCTGTTTAATTGTATTTTTAACTGTAGAAATTTTTAAAGTGAAGTATAATTTTAAATGTAGAAATTTAAAAAGGGAAAATAAAGGCTAGAATAATGCAAAGTATGTCAGATGAATTAGCTTTATCTGTATAAATAGTTCTCAAAACTAAAAGTGCTATTGAAAGAAACAAGATGGAATGGTATACTGCAGTAAAATGTCATTTACATGAATTCCAGAAGCACACAGGGCAATATGTATTTGTGTTTTGTACATATTAATGTACAAAAACGCACAGAGATGGTACTTTCTTAAAAAGAGGTCTGAAGCAAGTGTGACTAATTACTAACATCACGTATGAGTGATGTACGTAGAGATCATTATTTTCTTTGATTTTCTGTACATTTGAATTAGTTCAGAACTAAATAAGAGTAATGTCTACTATTTATTATAGAAAGCATAGATCAACAAAAAAATAAAAGATAAAAATAATACATCTATAATAGCATTATTACCTTATCACCCAAGAGAAGCCTCTGTGTAGTGTTTTAATATTTTTCCTTCCATGTTTTATCCTAGGGTTATAGATATATATCAAATATATCACCATATAAGTTGAAACCATCCTGTAATTTCTATTCTATTTAAAAACTTTATTCTAGTGAATCATTTCCCCTTATTATAAACTTCGTAACCTCTGTCATAAACACGTCGTGAGGACAGAACATAATTTAGTCATCTCTGACACTGAACATGTAGTTCTTTCCACTGTGAATAAAGATCATCTGAGTACTTTTTTCGGTTTACTTTTATTTTTTTTTCTGAGTATTTTTGTATCTAGTGCTTTTTGTCACGTTTCACTTGTCTGTTGATTATACAATCTGATGCCCCCAAAGAATAGTGAGGTTGATTTCTTTTCTTACATGTTTTCCCATTCAAGATACTTCCTCCATGTGATCATTCATTTTACATCTGATTATGTATGTGTTCCTATTAGAATCTTTTATAGTTATTCACAGTGTCCTAACAGCACTACAGAACTTTTCCTGAATAAAGCACATACTCCGGAAGATTGCTAAAGAGGATGAGAATTGGATATTAGGATGCGTGAATGAAACGGGAAACCTCTGAAGATTCAGAACAAAAAAATGTCTTTATACAGGGAGGAAATACTGATAACAAATAAGTTATCGGTAATAATTCTGATTTTTTAAAAAAGATCTTTTAAGTTTTAGTATTAGGTCAATTCCAGATAGATTATAAAAGCATAATATTAGGGGTCAAGATTATTAATCAGTCGATTTGCTGTGTTGTATTTTGCAGTTTTACAATGTACTAGCTTACCATGAACACATTTTTTTAGTAATTTCTTTACAAATGACTTTGTTATCTACTTTTATCTTGGTTGTAATTGATCTCCATGATATAGTAATAATTTAAAATTTTTAAATATTTTTTTTTTTCTGAAAGAACAAAGCAATTTTTAAATTTTGTGTCAGGAATAAACTCAGGGCCTTGCACTTGCCAGGCAGGTGCTGTGCCGCTGAGGTATATCCCCAGCCCTGCTATGTTTTAATTGCTCATTTTTCTGCATGTAACTGTCTCAGGGTCACAAGCCAATCCCACTGAGAACCCAGTACCGTTGCCACCCCGCCATCAGTGCTGTGGCTAATGACCTGTTCTACGGTGGAAACCTGAGGGACGGTGTGTCGGAAGTGGAGAGGGGCCCCTTACTGCACTGGCTGCCAACCCTATGTTTCTATAATGTCACAGGCCAAGAACAGGTAACGACATTGGTATTACGGGTACCAGCACAGCTTAGCAACCTGTTTAATTTTATTCTTGTTTGAATGAATTTACTTGGCCCTTCCAAAGGGTCTGGGAAATACAATTTTTTAGCATCTGTTTTTGTTTCAGATCGAAAGAGATAATAGCTTTTATAACATGGCTGAAGCTTCCTTTACACTCAAGCTGATTCAATCGCTGATTGCAAGTGGCATTGTGGGCTCTATGATTGGGGTGATAACATTATATAAATCCCAGATGTACAAGGTTTGTGTCTCAGAATAAGACATTTTCATATATTAAGTACCATAATTATAGATTATAGTATTTGATATTACATTTGTAGTAGTTTGGTGCTTGAAAAAACTTTGGGGATTATGCATACTAAAAAAGAAAAAAAAGTTTTTCTCATCTGGCTTTTTTTCTGCATAATTAAATGTAAACCTAACAAGGCTTAATTAAATTTGGTTTACAGTAGTTATAGGAAAAATGCAAATAAACAAATTAGAGGGAAAAAATATAGTGTATGCTTTGTGTTTGGGACAGATGGAATTGAGTCTGTTTTCTAAAATGTTCTTTCATTTTTATTACATTTTATCAGTAAATCAAAGATGAATACAGATACTAATGTAAACCCGAGCCAGTCACTTCTAAACAGTTTTCTTTGTTCTCTTACTAATTTTCTTTTTCATTTTTAGCTTATCAGCTATAAATTCACATAACCAAGAGTTCCCCAGAAATTCCTAAACCATCACTTTTGATTTCATTTCATGATAAAATTGTCACTGCTGTTTATCATTTAGGAGCTACCTAGCCAAGTCTGTAGAGTCATGAGACAACAATGACAGTGGCCCTCTGTTAGGTAATGACACTGATGGTCACGAGGAGGTCACAGGCTGTTTCTTCGAAGTGCATGCAAAGCATGACCCCTCTCCTCTTTTTCCACAGCTCTGTCACTCCCTGAGTACTGGGGACTTTGGCCACCATGATTTGAAAACTGTGCAAGTGTCCACAGTGGATGCTTTCCAAGGGGCAGAAAAGGAGATTGTTATTCTGTCCTGCGTCAGGACAAGACACGTAGGGTTCATTGACTCAGAAACACGAGTGAACGTTGCACTGACCCGAGCCCGGAGGCATCTGCTGATTGTGGGAAATTTAGCCTGTCTGAGGAGAAACAGGCTGTGGAGATGCGTGATCCAGCACTGCGAAGGTGAACGCAACATGGGCATATGCCAAGCATCTGAATTAAAACTGAGTTTTGTGGGTAGCTTGAACAGGAGCTGGTCTGGATTTGTCACTTAGGAAGCAACTGGCATACATGGGGACCCCTGTAAAATGAAGGACAGTTGTCTCATGTTTTGTGTTGTTTCAGGAAGAGAAGATGGATTACAGCAGGCCAGCCAGTGTGAGCCACACCTGAACTGTCTCCTCAAAGATTATTTTGAAAAACAAGCAGAAGAAAAACAGAAGAGAAAGAATGAAAAGGAGAAATCTAAAGAGAAGTCTCATTTACAAAATGACATGGACTAGGAATTGTACTTATGTAAATTCAGATTTACTTTATGTTATATATTTTTTATTATCACAAAATACTTGGCATAGAAAAAAACCCCTGTATTCTTTGATATTTAAATAATGTACTAAATAAGTGCATTTTAAAAAGTTGGCTTTTTGAATAAGTATGCATTATTTATATTAAGATAGGGGGATGGGCTGTTTATTTATTTATTTATTTATTTATTTATTTATTTTGGCACTGGGTATCAAACTCACAACCTTTTGCTTGCCAGGCAGGCACTTATGCCACTGAGCTAAACCCCGGCCTATTTATGTATTTTGGATTTTTGAGACAGGATCTTGCCATGTAATCCAGGCTGACATTGAACTCAACTGTAGTTTTCGTGCCTCAACCCTCCTGAGTGCAAGGATTTACAGGTTTGTGTCATACCTCCCAGTTTAACAATGTACTTTAAAAATATGTGGTTATCACAAAACCTCATTTCTGAGAACAGGTATACAACTCCTTTCCCAACTATAATTGTATCAGAATTTTTTAGAAATAAATACACTCCCTCACTATCTAAAGTAAAAGCATTCACAATGAAACTTCTGAAAAGTATGAAAGGGAAGAAAGAAAATACTAAAAGTTCACTGAAGATAGCAGCACTCCATACCTGAGCTGCATGGTGTCTTAAATCTGAGGTTTAAACTGGATTCTTTGGTTTTACTCCCCAAGTCCCTCCATCCTCATTCTTAATTTTTAGTCTTCTTGGCCACCAGAGGTAAGTTTCAAGTCATTTTGTTTCTTCAAGCAGAGTATGAGATGGTAAGTCCTCTTTTGCATTTGTGATTTGTGAGCACTTGCTTGCGTTTCATATGTACTAGTGATGCCTCTTTTGAACCTTCACCCTCTCAGGCTGCATTCCTGTCACATACACTGAGAGTGCTAGTGGGCTTCGCTTGTGGGCATCTGGAGTAGAGTGCTTGCCTTTTGTGCTCAGTCCCCAGCACTGCTAAAAACTGTGTTTGTGTATCTATACTCCAAGTATGATTTTGGGCATAAAATTACGGACATTTGCTACTAAAAGTGATGTTTAGAAGTTTTTTGTCTTTGTAATTGTTTTTAATCTTAGTTTTTCTTTTTAGTGCTAAGAACCAAACCTACCACCTTGTTCATGCTAAGCAAGACTATGCCACTGAGCTACAATCCCCACTTCAAGAACTGATTATTAACAAAAGTATTTTAATAGCTGGTGTTTGTTTTGTTTTTTTGAGACAGTCTCATTCTGTGGTTCAGATTGGGTTTAAACTCACTATGTAGCCCAGGTTGATCTTAAACTCTTGGTGATCCTCCTGCCTCAGCCTCCCAAGTGCTAAAATGACAGGTGTATGCCACCATGTTCTGCTGTGATTCTCAACATTCTTGTAAGTATCCAAAGTAGGTTAAAAATAATATATTTGTTTTGTGCTCTGCATTCTTCTGTAGCCAATGCCTGTCCTTAGCAGCATACGCTTCTCACTTGTATAACTTGAAAAAAACTACAAGTTAAAATCAAAGGTTACGAAGCTCAGCTTAATACTTAATAAAACCTAACTCACTGCTCCTTTACATTTGACCAAATGATTGATTTAGAGATAACAGAGCAAACCCAAAATGCTGCATGCTCTTGACTGTGTTTTAATTTAAAGACAGATATGAAATGGCTATATACTAATTCAATTTTTTACATTAAATAAGAATGAACTGGAAATTGGTGATTTCCTTGACAGATACTGGACCCTGAAATGAAATAATTCTTCTAAAAACATTAGATTAACGCTGATTTGAAATGCCTGCTTTGTAATTACTCATGAGTGAAATGCATGTTTAGTTCAAGTTGTACTTTTGGTTCACATTAGCACAATTGGATTATAAAGTAAAGGAAAATTGTAGACCAAATTCTCTGGAAGACCCTGAGTTCCTTTTGTCCTGAAAGGTTTGTTAGGTTGATATTTCAAAAAACTTACCAGTTAGTTTCTACTTCATTCTTTTTTTACTATTGTTCTTTCTAATCAAGCAAATCTGAATGAGGGTATTATGAATTTGCAAAAAGTCAGGAAACAGTCAACCTGAAGGCTAGAGAACCAGGAGACACTTCCTAAGAAAGCTAAGAGTTTCTGTGGTACCCAGCTTCCATTAAGACAGGACAGGTACATTTCATTGACTGCATTGTGGTGGCTTTGTGGTTTGTTGGGGCAGAACCACTTTGTGTGAACAAGTCAGCGCATTCCCTGCGCACAGAGCATCTGGTTCATCCTATCAAGTGCGTGCATCTTGTGCTATGGGGCAGCCCAGGAGTGGGGCAACTCTAGTTCTGCATCTCCTGAGGACCATGCAGAGCAAGGCAGAACTTACTTAAGGGGAAATCCTTGAGGACATGTGGAGTACCAAAAGTGGACTCTGAGCCCACTCCTGGATGTGCAACCTCTGAATAAACTGAGAACTAACATGGTCGACACCATTAGGGGCTTTGTCTTCCATCTTTAAGGTTCTTTAACTCAAACTATAAGGCATAGAGAAGCAGCTTATTGCTGACACAGAACTTGGCTCACAGTTTTCAGAAGGTGAGTCCATGGTTGGCTGGTGCCAAGGCAGAAGTGGCATGGTGGAAGCATGACTGCTACTTACTTCATGCCTACTAGGAAGCAGAGCCAGAGGAAGGGAGGGGACTGGGACAGGAACAAGCCCTTCCAGGTCACAGAGTCCATCTCGAACCAGATGCCACTTCCTAACAGTACATTCAGCTCTGCATTCATTAGTGGGTAAATGCACACATACATGACTCTTGGGGGACAATTTGGATGTGAACCAGAACAAGGCCGAAATTCTGAAGACTGAGGCTGTAGGGACTGAGATGCATGGGTGTTCAACAGCAGACCCAACCTGTACTCCTCCAGATGGCCAAGAGCATCAATAGCCTGAGAGACCATCCCTACCAAGGGGAGCTCCCTTGACCACTTATGTAAAACTTCTGGTGAGCTTCCACCAAATGTGGGAGGCATAAAAAGTGGCCAAAGCAATATATGTGCACCCATGTTATAGCAGCACAGTTTGTACTAGATCTTGGAAATAACCTAAATGTCCATAGGTAGGAATGGATTTTTTAAAAAAATGGCTGGCACAGAAAGCCACTGTCATGCATGAGTTTGTAAGCAGGGTGGTCTTCTCCACAGTGTTTCTCAGATGCCACAGGTACTTTTATTTTTGCTTTTACCCATTCTTGTTCAGCCCACGTTTGCTCTACGTAGCTGGTTGCTCCCATGCTCATTCCCCGCACACCATTTTGGTACCCTTACTGGCTTGTGTCATTCAATTTTTGTTCAAGGCAAGAATAACCTGGAATACTTTTGATTGGCCAGCTGTTATGGTTGATACATTGTGTCAATTTGAGAAGTTTAGAAGTTTAAGTGGCTCAGCAGGGGGCCTCATTTTGTAAACATCCTGAGCCTGTAGAGAGGAGAGGAGGGCCGGGAAATGGTATAAGTGCTATCTCTACCCTGGTGTGTGGATAGCCTGCATACAATATAGGAGAGGAAAAGGGGCTTGGCTCCCCCTTTTTGCTCTCTTTGGTTTTATGTATTCTGTTGTCATGAACTGTTGCCTCTCTGCCACCTCACCCTGCTGTCGAGCCAGCTGATTGCAGACTAAAACATCCACAAACTGAGCTGAATAAACCTTTACTATTTTAACTTGGGGTGTCAGATATTTTGTCCCAGCAATAAGAAAACCAAGACACAAGCCATTTCTAAAGAAACTATACTAAATCTTTTGGCACAGCAGTTCTGTCTGTATCATTTGTAATCAACAGGTCCCATAAGACTCTGCTCCAAATTGCTCCTTTCTGCATCAAAACAGGCAAACCATATATTTTTCTGAAGTAAAACAAGCAACTCTATATCAGACATTACAGACATTATAGAAATAATACATAGTTTGAAGACATCTTTTCACAAATGCCATGTTTAGTTGTACAAAATGCTTAGTGAATGTGTCTAAAGAACAAGCTACAGGCATTCCTTGTTTAACTACAAAATTCCAACTAGGCTGTTATATGAACTGGTCGCTAAATGAGGAATTACATACAGTCTGTACATTATGATATTCAGAACAAAGAAATGGTCAACTTGATGACTTTGCTTTTATTTCCATAACTGTGACATGCAGTACTGTAATGTATAGCAGAGCATAAAGCTACAGTACTGTAGTGTATAGAACAATCAATAAATTGTAATACTGTAAAGCAAGATGTACTATACAAAAAAAGACATTGAGACTCTATAAACAAGATGTACATAATAGGTGCCCCTCCCAAGACTTGCCAGTCATCATGGTGACAGTCTAGTGCTGAGTCATAATGTTACAGGCAGCTGAATTAGTTAGAAATATTATAGACAGTCAGACAGGGCTGGGTCCTCGATGGAATCAGTACAGATACCTGGCAACTGTACTTCGGGGAGTCACCATCCCATCCCCCTAGGGAAGACTCATAGCTCTGAGAATGCCGCTTCCTAAGTGACTTGCTTTCCCATTGGTCCCCAATTTAATCAATTTTACCTGAACTATTAATCTTATTGGCTAGCCATAGTTCTGTCCCACCTTAAGCCCATCTGCCTTGTGAGTTCCCAGTCCCATCCCCCACCCCCACCTTGAACCCATGGTTTTACTCTTTAAAAGCCCCTAGAAAAGACAGTCCTTGACAACCTGGTCGGGACCCCATCTGTCTGTCTCTCAGACAGAAGCTTTCTGTCTCTCAATAAATATATTCTACTCTTAACCTCTGTTGTTCCTAAAATTCATTCTTCCATTTGTGGACATAGTAGGTCAGAAGTTTCATTCCCCTGTATCAGTGGTGCCTAGTTCCTTCTTCCTGCAAACCCCCTGTGGTTTCTTCTTTCCAGCTGCCTTTGCCAAAGCCTGTGTGCACCAAAAATGACCCTATTCACTTTAGCCTCTTCGTACTGGGCAACCTCAGGCAGCTGCCCAATACCCTCCCCCGTCAGAGTATATGTAAGCTGAAATCACAGCGTTTGTCCTTAGAGAGCCAGCACAGCCTTGTTGTGGGTGACTTTGTCTGTGCCTGCATTAAACTCTTTATCTAGTTGCCTCTTCTCTTTTAATATTCTGTGCCACTCTAGATTGAGTACCTAACCACAACTCAATAAGTACAGAACTGTACAAATGAAAAAAAAAAAATCATAAGTCTGAATAGCAATTTGTGAGACCAAAAAGTCATTAAACAGCTAGATTGTTAAATGTTAAATAGCTAGATCCGGGGAAATGGGTTGCCAGCGGTGAGTTCCTGCACATTTGTGGCGGAGGCCTGGGGAGAGTTTAGATCATTGCTCCCAATGGCTAAGAACCTGCCCAACTTCTAGCCACACTAGACTGGGCTCTGCAGGTTTTGGGCCTGCCTGGGCCACACCCTGGGAACTTCTTTAAATCCGGGGAACTGGGCTGCCAGAGTCCCAGGAGCCAAGAGCATAGGAGACAATTTCCAGCAGGCCCAAGGGAAGCTTGGGAACATCACTTGAAATACAGAAATACAGGAAAATGACAAAACAAAAGACCAAAATGCAATCTCAAACCTCCAGCCCATCTCAAGAAAGCCTAGGAGCCATGTATGTAGAAGAAAATATATGCCATACACCTGAAATACCTGAAATAATAGCAACTGAAATAAAGAAGCAACTCTGGGAAGCTTTAAAGGAATTGAAGTTAGAAATAATCTCTCAGGTAAAAGAAGAAATGATAAAAGTAATGAAAGAGATGCTGAACACATCCAAAGATGGCACAGTTTAAAAATTAGAGGAACAAAACAAAAAGATAGAATCCCGGGATGAACAATATAAGAAACAAACAGAATACATAGAGCAGATGCAGAGATATACAGGAAATCAAAAATTCCATTGAAAGTTGTCAAAACCACCTCAACGAAAGTGAAGATAAAATTGCAGGCCTCAAAGACAAGATTGCAGCTAGTGAACAGGAAAGGAAAGATCTTTTAAAAATAACAAGGAATCAGGAAATTACAATTCAACAGCTGCAAGATGATGCAAAGAAAAACAACATAATATTGATAGGGATAAATGAAAAAGAAGGGGACAATACAAATGATATCAAGAGGCTATATATAGAAGTAATAGCTGAAAATTTCCCAAACATGAGAATGGAAACTGACATCAGGATTAGTGAAGCATATAGAACTCTAAATAGCCATAACCAACTGAGACATATAATAATCACTATCCCAGAAATCCAACATACAAATAGAATATTAAAAGCTGTTGGAGACAAAAGACAGATCATCTATAAAGGAAAACCTATCAGAATAACAGCAGACTTCTCAACACAAACAATGAAGTCAAGAAGAGCATGGAGTGAAGTATTTCAGATCCCAAAGGAAAATGATTTCCAGCCTAGACTGATGTACCCTGAAAAACTGTCCTTCAAGATGGATGGAGAAATAAGATACTTCCATGACAAAGAACAGCTGAAGAACTTCATGGTCACCAAACCAACCCTGAAAAGAATACTGAAAGATAGCCTAGATACACAGGAAAAAGCCACTAAGCAGGACAAACAAACGGAATGGAAAGATAAAGATGCAACAGTAGAAAGATAACATGTCAACAATAAACCAATATATAACAGTTATAGCAATTAATGTAAATGGCCGCAATTCACCAATTAAAAGAAACAGACTGGCAGAATGGATCAAGAAAAAACATCCAACCATATGCTGTCTGCAAGAAACCCATCTAACCCAAAAGGAAACTCACAGTCTGAAAGTCAAAGGATGGAAATCAATACTTCATGCAACAGGAACCCCCAAAAAAGTGGGGTTAGCTATTCTGTTTGCAGACAATGTGAACTTCAAACCAAGAATGATCCTAAGAGTT